GCATGGCAACATGATACACATGGCAACATGATACACATGCAACAACACACAACTCTTTTGAAGGCAATTGTTGGTGTTTGTTTTGGCAAGCATGAATGTTTGTATGAATATCCACATGTGATGTGTATGTGTATATAGATAACGTGTGTGTTTCTGTATGCTTTCTTGCTGTGCTTGCTCCTGGATCCTGTCTGTATCCCAACTGCTGCTAATTAATTCTGTGTCGTTATCATTCGAGCAGTCTGTCTTTATTGGCCTTGTCGGTACCCGTGATGAACATGTCTTAATCATGTCTGGTCTGTTTCTTCTCTCGTCAAGTGACGTGAAGTTTTGTAGATGTTCTTTACCATCGCAGCTCATTTCTTTCGGTTGTGTGCTAAGTGTAATGGTGTAGCTTGGTGCTCAATGTTGCGAGGGGTCCATTGCTGGAGCTGCATATTCGAGAATTAGTTTAACATACGTGATGTAGATCATCTTAAATTATTTATGCTAGCCATGTATGTACCGCTGATTTAATTCCGTTTGTGTTCTTCTGGAGACAGAATTCATATGAATTTTCTCCCGGACTTTTCCTGTGTAACTCGTGGAGATCCCTCGCCCGTCTCCAGGTAGTAACTCATCCAGAGCGACATCCCTTTCTCGGCGCTCATCTTCATTACTTTCTATGCATTTGGACTGAACTCCAGCAGCCACTTGCCAGTCCGTTCTTTTAGGCTTTCCTCGTGTAGTTCCGTACAGTCACCCGTAATTCTCGTGTACCTCATCATTTTCACATCATCTGCAAACTTCAACATGAAGAAATCTATTCACCCGGGTTGATCATTCCCGTGAACCGTGTCGGGACCAGGAGGCATCCCAGTTGGTCTCTTGGGGAAGTCTCTCAGTATCACTGACTTCTTATCCATCTTGTAAACTATTCTAGTGTGCGCTTCAGTTCCCTACTAGTAGTCAAGAAATATGCAGGTTTTCCCTCTCCATCCAGAGTGCTTGTAGTCAACATATAGAATTATATTAGATTTACCTTTTATGAACCCGCGCTGCTGTTTACATTATAAGAGACCATTCTATCCCGGTCTTCTCCCTTTCTCTTATAATTTTTTCCATTACCTTACATGGCAATCATGTTGAGGGACATAGGTCTGTAGTTCAGAGCCTCGTGTCCGTATCCATTTTTGGTATATTGGTACAACATTGCTCATCTTCCATTTATTTGGAATTTCACCTGTCTCTAAGAAGTTGTATATATGTTTATCTTGTTTCTGTTATCCTTTTGGCTCGTGTAGGTGTTCCCCTTTAATGTATATCTTTAACCCGCGCTCTCTCTCATTATGAAGCTTGTCTCTGTCCGCCATGATGGTAACCTGGAGACTTGTTGGCTTGTGGTCTTGTTCAGTGCTTCTCCAGTCTCGCCAGACCTGCACCTCTTGCACACCAGGGGAGGACTGCTGCCCGCACTGTGCACACAAGAAGTGATCTTATGTGGTGATCATATTCTGAATAAACTTTTCTTAAGGCTCCTGAAGGTACTTAAGGTGTTTGGCAGCTTGCATACACCGGTGATGCTGTGTGCTCTTAGTGATGGAGGTGTGATGACAGCTGTTGTTCCCGTGCTCTTAGTGATGGAGGTGTGATGACAGCTGTTGTTCCCGTGCTCTTAGTGGTGGAGGTGTGATGACAGCTGTTGTTCCCGTGCTCTTAGTGATGGAGGTGTGATGACAATTGAAGTTTCACACCGGTGATGCCGTCCCTCTGCCTTCCTTTACCTACTGGCCAGCTTCATTATTTTGCAACAATGAGGAATGAGTTCCTAGGGCCACTTGTTAGAAAACTGTCACAGTCTATTCAAGTCTTAAAGAAGTTCTTCAATGATATATTTGAGCTTTGTATCGTCCTCAAATATCGACATTTAGGGAGCCCATCACTCCTAGTAGATCATATACAGACACCAGGACCAGTTTGTGAGCTAGAACTTGACACACCATCTGTTAGCAAAAACTACTATTTCTCAGATATTTCACATCCGTTAGAGAGGCCTACCTGTCATCCGAGCCTGGAGGGTCTTCTACTTGCCGGTCACAAGTGAAGGGGCACTGTAATAAACCTTCCTGGAGTACAGAAAGATGCAGTCTACCTAGCCTTTTTTTCCGATCTTATCTGTCAGCCTGTCGTAGGATCAAGTAAGTCTATATGTCAGGATTTTGTCATTCCTAAACTAGTGCTGGTGTTTCGTGATGAATTTCCGTTTTAGAATACACTTCACTAGTCTCTTTAGTTTGATGACGTGGATGGTCTGCATGTTAGTACTGGTCTATGAGGCTCTTAGTATTAAATTGGCTGAGCTCCAACTCTTATTTTCCTGCCTCTGGGCGAATGACTTCAGCACCTTTGTCAGTATCCAAGGAAATTTAGTCAGGTTCTTGTTAATTAGTGTAAACCAGTTGTGCATGTCTCAGCCTTCCTCTTCTCGGCTCTGACACTGGCCGTTGCTCACGTGAGATGACATCATCAATCATTTGTTGAGTTCTCGGCTGGGTTGCCGTTTTCTGTGAGAAGGTTCCCTTTGTTCTGCCCGATTACCTGTCCTGCCCGCATCTGCCTCCTGGCCTGGCTGTGTGTGTGTGTGTGTGTGTGTGTGTGTGTGTGTGTGTGTGTGTGTGTGTGTGTGTGTGTGTGTGTGTGTGTGTGTGTGTGTGTGTGTGTGTGTGTGTGTGTGTGTGTGTGTACGTGTGTGTGTGTGTACGTGTGTGTGTGTGTGTACGTGTGTGTGTGTGTGTACGTGTGTGTGTGTGTGTGTGTGTGTGTGTGTGTGTGTGTGTACGTGTGTGTGTACGTGTGTGTGTACGTGTGTGTACGTGTGTGTGTGTACGTGTGTGTGTGTGTGTGTACGTGTGTGTGTGCGCGCGTGTAAGTTTTCGTCTTATCAGACTTGCTTTCTCTCTCCCAATATGGCAAAAAGTGAGTCTCACCACCCGTCTGCTTTTCACTTTTGCTTGGGTGGTGCCGGGGCTTGTGGTGCCCCCCCCGCCCCACACCTGCCGTCACCCTTGTGGACAGGTGTTACGGTCACACAATGTGACAAATGCCACTCGAGCCATACGAAGATGTCACTTAAGTACACTAAGCTTCCAAGGATGAGCAAAAGAAAAGTAGGTTCTGCTTATTAACATAAGATGTGTTTGTTATGCTTAGTAAGCAGTTTTTAGTGTGTTTTTCAATTAAGATCATTGTTTCCTCCTCCCGCCATTCACACACAGGGGGGCCTCGTAGCCTGGTAGATAGCGCGCAGGACTCGTAATTCTGTGGCGCGGGTTCGATTCCCGCACGAGGCAGAAACAAATGGGCAAAGTTTCTTTCACCCTAAGTGCCCCTGTTACCTAGCAGTAAATAGGTACCTGGGAGTTAGTCATCTGTCACGGGCTGCTTCCTGGTGTGTGTGTGTGTGTGTGTGTGGTGTGGGGAAAAAAAAAGTAGTTAGTAAACAGTTGATTGACAGTTGAGAGGCGGGCCGAAAGAGCAAAGCTCAACCCCCGCAAAAACACAACTAGTAAACACACACACACACACACACACACACACACACATACATACACACACACACACACACACACATACATACACACACACACACATACACACACACACACACACACACACACACACACACACACACACACACACACACACAATGTACACACACATAAGACTAAACTGGAAAAGGTTCAAAGGTTTGCCACCAGACTAGTACCCGAGCTGAGAGGTATGAGCTACGAGGAGAGACTACGGGAATTAAACCTCACTTCGCTGGAAGACAGAAGAGTTAGGGGGGACATGATCACCACATTCAAGATTCTGAAGGGAATTGATAGGGTAGATAAAGGCAGTCTATTTAACACAAGGGGTACACGCACAAGGGGACACAGGTGGAAACTGAGTGCCCAAATGAGCCACAGAGATATTAGAAAGAACTTTTTTAGTGTCAGAGTGGTGGACAAATGGAATGCATTAGGAAGAGATGTGGTGGAGGCTGACTCCATACACAGTTTCAAGTGTAGATATGATAGAGCCCGATAGGCTCAGGAATCTGTACACCTGTTGATTGACGGTTGAGAGGCGGGACCAAAGAGCCAGAGCTCAACCCCCGCAAACACAACTAGGTGAGTACAACTAGGTGAGTACACTAAATCAACATTATCGTCATTATCATATCTCCATCATCGTCATTCTTACATTAACATTTAGTTGTTTGAATTTTGGGATAATGACTAGTCATATTTCAGCTCTGTGGAGACTGAGCATGGTGAGGGTGTGGTGACCCTGGTAAGGTCACCATGCTTGAGGCACCAATTGTGAGTGTGGTGACCCTGGTAAGGTCACCATGCTTGAGGCACCAATTGTGAGTGTGGTGACCCTGGGTGAGGTCACCACGCTTGAGGCACCAGTGGTGATGACCACAGTAGCCTTAGTTAACCCAGCCAGCCTCACCTGTGTTTAGAGTCGTTGAGGGAGTCGCCTTGACTCCTGTCGGTGACTCTGCTGTTGTTGGTCACCTTCACAGTTGCTTGTATCGCAGAGCATGGCACAGCATCTGTGCTTGTATCGCAGAGCATGGCACAGCATCTGTACTTGTATCGCAGCACATGGCACAGCATCAGTGCTTGTATTGCAGCGCATGGCACAGCATCAGTGCTTGTATCGCAGCGCATGGCACAGCATCTGTGCTTGTATCGCAGAGCATGGCACAGCATCTGTGCTTGTATCGCAGAGCATGGCACAGCATCTGTGCTTGTATCGCAGCGCATGGCACAGCATCTGTGCTTGTATCGCAGAGCATGGCACAGCATCTGTGCTTGTATCACAGCACATGGCACAGCATCAGTGCTTGTATCGCAGAGCATGGCACAGCATCTGTGCTTGTATCACAGCACATGGCACAGCATCAGTGCTTGTATCGCAGCGCATGGCACAGCATCTGTGCTTGTATCACAGCACATGGCACAGCATCAGTGCTTGTATCGCAGCGCATGGCACAGCATCAGTGCTTGTATCGCAGCGCATGGCACAGCATCTGTGCTTGTATCGCAGCGCATGACACAGCATCTGTGCTTGTATCGCAGCGCATGACACAGCATATGTGCTTGTATCGCAGCGCATGACACAGCATATGTGCTTGTATCGCAGCACATGGCACAGCATCTGTGCTTGTATCGCAGAGCATGGCACAGCATCTGTGCTTGTATCGCAGAGCATGGCACAGCATCTGTGCTTGTATCACAGAGCATGGCACAGCATCTGTGCTTGTATCGCAGAGCATGGCACAGCATCTGTGCTTGTATCACAGCACGACACAGCATCTGTGCTTCTATCGCAGCGCATGACACAGCATCTGTGCTTGTATCGCAGCGCATGACAGAGCATCTGTGCCTGCATCGCAGCGCATGACACAGCATCTGTGCTTGTATCGCAGCGCATGACACAGCATCTGTGCTTGTATCGCAGCGCATGACACAGCATCTGTGCCTGCATCGCAGCGCATGACACAGCAGCTGTGCTTGTATCGCAGCGCATGACACAGCAGCTGTGCTTGTATCGCAGTGCATGACACAGCAGCTGTGCTTGTATCGCAGCGCATGACACAGCATCTGTGCTTGTATCGCAGCGCATGACAGCAACAGTGCTAATTAGTCACACCTCCGGGGAGAGGAGGGGGGGGGGGAGGGTGTCCGGATTATCACATACGTAATGACTGTTATGAACTATACAGCGTCGTCAAGGTTACCAAATGAAGGGAATGAGGTTAATTGTTGTGAAGATTCCCAATCAAAATGGACGTGTTCTCACTTTCTTGTGCTTGCAGGGTTAAGTTTCATCTCTTGTTCCCCGCCTTACCAGAGACGGACCGTCCCATACAATGACACCCGACCTACATTTAGCACTACTCCTATTGACGTGGTTATTGCTGGCGCCGGCTACCTATTACAACGGCTTCCTTCAGTGCATCCCACTTGTTGACCATCCGTGCAGGGTACGAGTACTTCTGCAGGCGATGAGTCACAATAACGTGGCTAAAGTATGTTGACCAGACCACACACTAGAAGGTGAAGGGACGACGACGTTTCGGTCCGTCCTGGACCATTCTCAAGTCCATTGTGAGAACCATATATTTTTGGGTCTTGTTTGGAGGCTAAGAACTCTCCCTCGCACAGGCTGCGTCAGCTGAGGCTGCTGACCTCGGCGGAGTTGTCTTGGGCCAGTGCACTCGCCTAGTTGTGCTTGCGGGGGTTGAGCTCTGACTCTTTGGTCCCCCCTCTCAACTGTCAATCAACCGGTGGAGAGATTCCTGAGCCTACTGGGCTCTATCATATCTACATTTGAAACTGTGTTTGGAGTCAGCCTCCACCACATCACTGCCTAATGCATTCCTTTTACTAACTATTCTGACACTGAACAAAATTCTTTCTAATGTTTCTATGGCTCATTTGGGTACTTAATTTCCACCTGTGTCCCCTTGTGCGTGTTCCGCTTGTGCTAAATAGTTTATCTTTGTCCACCAATTACTCCGAGACTATTGTGCAGTCGGTTCCTCTGACCACACTCTGTAGTGTGGTCACTACAGTGTCATGGTCGCTGAAGGTGTGTGGTCACTATACAGTGTCATGGTCACTGAAGGTGCGTGGTCACTATACAGTGTCATGGTCACTGAAGGTGCGTGGTCACTATACAGTGTCATGGTCACTGAAGGTGCGTGGTCACTATACAGTGTCATGGTCACTGAAGGTGCGTGGTCACTATACAGTGTCATGGTCACTGAAGGTGCGTGGTCACTATACAGTGTCATGGTCACTGAAGGTGCGTGGTCACTATACAGTGTCATGGTCGCTGAAGGTGCGTGGTCACTATACAGTGTCATGGTCGCTGAAGGTGCGTGGTCACTATACAGTGTCATGGTCGCTGAAGGTGCGTGGTCACTATACAGTGTCATGGTCGCTGAAGGTGCGTGGTCACTATACAGTGTCATGGTCGCTGAAGGTGCGTGGTCTCTATACAGTGTCATGGTCGCTGAAGGTGCGTGGTCACTATACAGTGTCATGGTAGTGACCACCTCTTTATAATACCTCTCAGCCCCACCTCTCATTTGTTTCTTTTTATCTACCTTTCATTTCTTCTTGGTTTGTCCTTAGAAGAATGGGAGAAAGATGGGTAGGGAGGGGAGGGGTGGTGTAGAGGGAGGGGAGGGGTGGTGTAGAGGGAGGGGAGGGGTGGTGTAGAGGGAGGGGAGGGGTGGTGTAGAGGGAGGGGAGGGGTGGTGTAGAGGGAGGGGAGGGGTGGTGTAGAGGGAGGGGAGGGGTGGTGTAGAGGGAGGGGAGGGGTGGTGTAGAGGGAGGGGAGGGGTGGTGTAGAGGGAGGGGAGGGGTGGTGTAGAGGGAGGGGAGGGGTGGTGTAGAGGGAGGGGAGGGGTGGTGTAGAGGGAGGGGAGGGATGGTGTAGAGGAAGGGGGTGGGGAGAGAGTAGAGAGAGGGGGCGGGGAAAGAAGGTAAGCCAAGACTCAACAGGTTCAGAAAATCGTTTCCAGAGTGGGCGCGGGTGAAGGTGTAGTGTAGGTGTGGTGTGGGAGTAGTGTAGGTGTGGTGTGGGTGTAGTGTAGGCGTGGTGTAATCGTGCTTCTTCCCTCCCACCACCACCTTCCCTCCCACCACCACCTGCTGTGTCAGTACTCACATATCAGTGTGTTGGGAATAAATTAGAGGTGAAGTGGTAGAGGCGGAGGCGGCCACCTTGGTCTTGCCTGGCGCCGCTCGTCCTCTTGCTCCTGCTCGGACCAACGACCATGTTTGCTTCAACTAACTACCCCTCAAGCTCAAGTGTTCGTGCTTCCCTAATGATCATCTGGGTAACCAGTTCCCATCCATGCTAGTGTGCAATACTGATTTTTGCACACAAAATCAGTGTCTGGGATGCTCCTGGACGCAGGTTCGAATCCTCGTCACGGCCCTTGTGGATTTGTTCATTTACTGATTTTTGCATCCGAATGCCTTGCTAGCAATGGGCTGTTATCAGTGGTCAGCGCCGTCGTTGACCAACCTTGTAGCAAGAACTCTCCAGTCTCTGGTTTTGCTTTTAGCTTTTCCAGGCGATTCCACGCGCGGGGCCTCATACTTAGTGCTTTAAATTTTTTTTAAATTTTGCCCCGAGGGGCGAGTTTATTGGGCAGCGCCACTCATCTTGTGAGTGGACACACCACCATAGTGACAGTATTGGGCAGCGCCACTCATCTTGTGAGTGGACACACCGCCATAGCAGAATGTACAACACTCCCCAATAGGAAGAAAACCCGCTGGGTTGTTCATCCTGTCACTTGTACCCAGACACAGTTGGGACTTGCTTAACTGTCTCAAGTGAACAGCTCCTCAAACAAGAAGATTAACATTTATCAACCCTTAAAAGCTTACGTTATCTTGCGGGTGCAAAATGGGGAAATCTTTTAAGAACAGTATCAATATTTTTTAGTGCTGGTGTGAAGATGGGCTCACCATAGCCCGTGCTGCTTGGAACTTTTTGTTCCAAGTAGCGAATCTTTAACAACACCAAGAAGTTCTGGTGTACCACATGTAGTGTACCGTGTCATGATGGTCTCCTTCTGCGGATCCCTGACGGTACAGCGACGGCCTCGCTCCTTACGGGTCGGTGTTCGATCCCCAATGATCCAAGTGGATGGGCACCATTCCGTTCCTCTGTCCTATCCCAGCTCCTTGTCCTTGTCCTCTCAAGTACTATATAGTCATACTGGCTTAGCACCTCATACTCATCCTCTGAGCGGTAGTTTATTGTGCACCCCATACTCATCCTCTCAGCGGTAGTTTATTGTGCACCCCATACTCATCCTTTGGTAGTTTATTGTAGGTAATACAATAATATACTATAAATATAGTACAATATATTGTAGGTAGTTTATAGCGGATCAAAAAGTCAGTATTTCACCCTAGCATGACGAGAGCATGGATGTAAACTGGTGATCCAGATGAGCATTAGGGAAGCACGAACACTTGAGCTTGAAGGGTAGTTAGTTGAAATGAATTGTGTACTCATCCTGTGAGCGGTAGCGCAAGAAAGAATTAAACGGGCACAAAAGGTCTGAATCAGACATCAGGGAAAATTGTGTATTATATTAAATTCCCAAAACACACACTTTTAGTTAAGCAACTTAATGTTGTCTTAAGTCTTAAATTCATGTGCGCGCGCGTGTGTGTGTGTACTCACCTAGTTGTACTCACCTAGTTGTGTTTGCGGGGGTTGAGCTCTGGCTCTTTGGTCCCGCCTCTCAACCGTCAATCAACAGGTGTACAGATTCATGAGCCTATCGGGCTCTGTCATATCTACACTTGAAACTGTGTATGGAGTCAGCCTCCACCACATCACTTCCTAATGCATTCCATTTGTCAACCACTCTGACACTAAAAAAGTTCTTTCTAATATCTCTGTGGCTCATTTGGGCACTCAGTTTCCACCTGTGTCCCCTTGTGCGTGTTCCCCTTGTGTTAAATAGACTGTCTTTATCTACCCTATCAATCCCCTTCAGAATCTTGAATGTGGTGATCATGTCCCCCCTAACTCTTGTCTTCCAGCGAAGTGAGGTTTAATTCCCGTAGTCTCTCCTCGTAGCTCATACCTCTCAGCTCGGGTACTAGTCTGGTGGCAAACCTTTGAACCTTTTCCAGTTTAGTCTTATCCTTGACTAGATATGGACTCCATGCTGGGGCTGCATGTGTGTGGGTGTGTGTGTGTGTGTGTGTGTGTGTGTGTGTGTGTGTGTGTGTGTGCGTGTGCGTGCGTGTGCGTGCGCGCATGTGCGTGCGTGTGCGTGCGCGCATGTGCGTGCGTGTGCGTGCGTGTGGGTGGGGATGAATGAGTGGGTGGAGGCCGGGGAGCGTGCCGTGATGGTGGTGGCGCAGGCTGGTGCAGCAGAGATGAGCGGGCTAGCAAGGTGAGGTCAGAGAACTGGCCATCCCGTCGTAAACTGTATTTCCCCGACCAAGGGGCCGGTCTGGCCATTTTCCTCTCTTTCATCCTCATTCTGTTATCCCTCCTCATCCTTCACCTCCTCCTACAATAATACTAAGAAGCGTGCGTTTTAAAGTGTGATTTTTATTATTTGGTTTGGCGGCTTAGATGAGCCATGGAAGTACAGTTGTTGAGTGTGGGTGAGGGGGGTGTGGGTGAGGGGTTGTGGGTGAGGGTGAGGGGTTGTGGGTGTGGGTGAGGGGTTGTGGGTGAGGGGTTGTGGGTGAGGGGGGTGTGGGTGAGGGGTTGTGGGTGAGGGGGTGTGGGTGAGGGTTGTGGGTGAGGGGGGTGTGGGTGAGGGGGGTGTGGGTGAGGGGGGTGTGGGTGAGGGGGGTGTGGGTGAGGGGGGTGTGGGTGAGGGGGGTGTGGGTGAGGGGGTGTGGGTGAGGGGGGTGTGGGTGAGGGGGGTGTGGGTGAGGGGGGTTGTGGGTGAGGGGGTTGTGGGTGAGGGGGTTGTGGGTGAGAGGGTGTGGGTGGTTGGTTGTGGACGTGAGAGTAGGGTAGTGGGTGTCGGAGTACAATTAAGGTTCTGGCTCTGGGGATGATTGTGGCTCTGAGAGGTCAGTGGTGTGCCTGAGGAAAA